GCAGAAATGCAGAATGTTTGAAGAGAACTATCAGTTTTGGTCAAAGCGAAAGTAACGGTGTAAGAAAACGTATACGAATATATGAATGTATTAAAACCTACGACCTTAAAGGCAAAACAACTTTTTTTCCGAGAAAATTTTTAAATAGTTCTACTGGAACAATCAATATACTTCCTTAACAAAAGTTTAATAATTTTTAGGGAGCTGTAATTTACTGGTATTAGGGTGGTACGATAGGCTGATAAGAACTTACTTCTGGTGGGTACGTACTAGAACAAAAAAAAATTTTCGAAATTGCCTTAAAAAAATGTCTAGACTCAGCGGTTAATAATACAACTAACGATAAAAATACCGATACCCCAAATCCCCAAAAAATCACTTTTTCACTTATTTTTCTTCTTAGCAACGGTTTGGTTTATAATCTCGTAGCTAATCTTTAAAAAATTGGCTTTTCTTATAACTGGTTGATTTTGAAAAGAATTTTATTTACGTAGGACTTAATTACTGGCTCTAAAGTTAAACCTGGAAGAAATTACTCATTTTTTTTACTGGCTTTAAATTTAAATATGTAATTGGAAAAAAAAAAAACAAAAAGAGTCCCAAGTCCCCCGAAAAGCCATTAATCGATGCCGAAGAATTCGAAAAAAACATGGAGAAGTAGCAAAAGATTCTGAAAAGCCCTTAAAGAAGGCTAACAACTAATGAAAAATCTGGGAAAAGGGTCGAAAATAGCGAAGCATGCCAGTCAGCAAGTTGCCGAAAACCGCCCAAAAGCAGAAAGTGCTCTACAAATTTCGAAGATCCTTCGAATAATCCCGAAGAGTTCGATAAAAGTTTCTATAAATGAAAAATACACAATAAAAATACTCAATACACATCATTTGAAGCGCACTAAGAAAATTTAAGGAAGCTTTATCTAGAATAAAATGGCTACTTTCCTTTTCAAATCGTTTACAAAGTCGTATACGCCCACAGCACCTTAAAGCATGCAACGTTTCTGCTAAAATTTACTATCGACATTCAAGCGAACACCTCCTTTATTTGTATTTTATGCATCCTCCAAATTTATCTCCACAACTTCGTTGACAATTTATTTTCCGCTGTCTGAATCATAATATCATCAAAATTGACGTCATAAGCACCTAAAAGTAGGCAACAATCCACACACATACGCACACAACATGCAATGGACCAGTAAATCACAAGCAGAACAACAAACACACTTAACTTACTTTAGTGTAAAAATAAAGCTATAGAAAGAGGCAACTGAAATGAAATGACGACCAAATTGCCCGGCGTAAGACGTTGTGGAGGGCGAAAATAAATAAGCAAATAGAAAATCTATCAAAACTAACATTATTTTCTAGCTATGACTTTCGTTTGCTGCTACATACTTTCGGCACACAACAAGGATATTAAGTTATGGGCAATAGCGAAAGAAATACGTACAACAGCCACTGGCTGTGTAATAAAAGCAACAAACATTATTGATGACAATTGACACAAGTGGCCAAAATGCGTTTCTCGTGTTTACGCTTGAACGCTTCAGTGATGTGCTCGAAAGAGATTTTTTTAGAAGATTTCATATTTGTTTAAGTCAAAAAATAAGCAGTTCTCAGGCGCACAAGCACATAAAGCAGTAGCCGTAAGACTTTTTGTGTTAAAATATTTCTGAACTTCTCTCACTTCTGCACTTCTACAATCTTTTGCAATCTCTTTTTGCCAATTCTCTTCATTCACTTGCTAAGGCACTCGAGTACAAGTCACAAAATCCTTTGTTAGTTTTGCATACGCATGGGATTTAGTAAACTACTAATCTGATGTTGCATACTTTTAGGTGTTTACACACATACTTCAGTTTTTAATACAACTCAAGTGCTGGTATTTCAATTGGACTCTACGTACATACGTATGTAAATAAAGTAGGCGAAATATTTGCGAAACATTGTAGCTTTGCGAAACTAGAGTATTTTGATCTCAAGAGGCAAACAAAAAAATTCTTCTGCAAAAAATTCTTTGTATTTTGTATACTTTAAGCCGAATTTTATGTGAATTTAAAAAAATTTACCCCAAAAAGTAGGCAATAAATTAATTCATTAATCAAAATCAACCAAATAACTTTCGCGCACTTGATTTCTCTTAAATTTCACTGTAACGTCAATACTGATTTATGTCAGAGCCCACCTCAACCCAATCATGTTAAGCAAAAGCATAAATCTCCCCAGTCATTCGTACGCCCACCTCTACCTACGCCGCCGAAAAATTAAATATTTCCTTTTATCGATACGACAGTGCGTCTAAAAGTTAATGACCCATATACTTGAATACCAAACAAGGCAACACAAAACGTAAAAGCAGGCATTCCTAAAACACAGCATGAAGGCGCTGTACAAAGCATATTTCTAGGCGCCTGCAGCTACATACATATACATATATATGTATCTACAAAGCGCCTAACCACTCAAGTATGTATAAGTATCTTAAGCTATCAATCTAATAGAGATAGAGCCAATAACGAGCCCAGACACCTAAAAGTAGGCTCAAAAGGGAAGCAGGAGATGTATAGATCAAGCAGATATAATTTTCTTAGACGAAGCTGAAGTATAAAAAGATTTTCGCCAAAAAATCGTATCCAACAGTTATTGCACAATAACAAAGGCAAAAGAGAATGCCTCATTCAGTAACGGAGCGAAGGGCAATCTAATCGAATTTGTTGTTTTATTAGAGTTGCAGCGAATGTGTGTATGTATTGTGTATGTATGTTGTAAGAAAGTATGAGTTAATCTCTTTCAAAAAGCTCAGTTCATGAATTATGAAAATGAAATTACCCTCCTTCCTGAGCATTCTTTTATAAATTTTAAATTTGAAGCTTTTGGCTCATATTACGTACGCAAAAAAATATGTATATTCAAAAGAGCAGTACTCGTGCTATTTATGATTCTTTCGTTCGCTTTACATACTTTTCAGCAATTCTCAGCAAGCTTATACAAATTATAAACTTTAAGTGAGTCTTATTTTAACTGAGATTTATTTCATTTTTTAAGCAAGAAATAAAAGATAAAATTGGACTGTTGTTTTTAGACATAAACTAAGCCATATTTTTTATTTTTAGGTATTCATAAAAATTAAGATTTAATTGTACCTTTGAGCTTAAAAATTTTCAAAAAGTTCGGAAAAAAATCCTAAATAACGCCAAAACAAGTCAAATTTGGTAAAATCCCGAACATCCCCAAAGTTCCTTAATGCGATGAGCCTGGAAGATCCTAAAAAATCAAGAAAAAACCGGAAAATCTCGAATAACGCCAAAAAAAATCTTTAATAAATTCCGAAAAAACCAAAAAAAAAAAACTAAATTTCATAAAAGTTAAGATTTAGTTATACATTTGAACATGAAAAACTGCAAAAAGCCCCGAATAACGCCAAAATAATGTAAAAAGTTTCTTAATCAGCTGAACCTGCAAGTTCCGAAAAATTTTGAGTAACCCCAAAAAAATCTCTAAGAAACTAAGAAAACCGCCGAAAAATTTTGAAAGCATCCGAAAGTTCGGAATGTCGTAAACTTAGTGTTTTTCAAAAAATTCCCGAATAAATCTGAAAAACCACGAAAAGCGCCTTAAGTAATTCCGAAAAGGGAACGAAAGTTCATAAAAGTTAAGATTTAAATGTACCTTTGAACCTGAAAGTTTTCAAAACGCCCCGAAAAATCCCGAATAACGCCAAACCAATTCGGAATGTCCGAAAAATTTGGTAAAGTGCCCAAAGAACTCCAATAGTTTCTTATCCGCTGAAACTGCAAGTTCCGAACCCTGACCAAATCCGAAAAATATTAAAAAATATATCAAAAAATTTCAGAAAGAGATGCGAAAACTCAAGATTTCTTGAAAAAAAAACCGCTGAAACTTAGAGATTTTAAAAAAGTACCGAATAAATCTGAAACGAAGCTAAAACCCCGAAATCCTTTTCTAAAAACAAAAAAAATCTCATACGCAATATTCTAAAATGTATTTTTATTTTGTTTATACACGGGTTTGAAAATTTTAAATTTTTCACAAATTTAACGAATCTTAATTTAATAAATGGCTGGCAACACTGTTAAAAAGCTTTTTTAAAAATTTTCTTTTAGACTTAAATTTAGGTGGCTACCAGGTAAAAATTTTTTGAGCTATGCAATCACAAATAATTTTTAAATAATCATAATTAAAATATTTTTTAGTTGCAACTATGTATATCAAAATTTTTAAATGAAATTAATTAATTTATAAATGACAACCATGTGCTTTATTGAAGTTAGACAGAATCGTTTAGGCGTTTACAGGGCCGATTAAAAAAAAGAAGAACCACAATCCAAAATATTTCTAAATAAAAACTTTCTAAAAATTAAAAAAAAAGTTTTTAATTTAAACTGAGTACATGTTGGTTTTTGTTAAATATTTGCAAGGTTTTTTAAGTTAAAATTTTTTTATAAGAACCATATAAATCAAAATTTAAATTTCTATACAGATCTTAGAAAAATTCTACAATTTTTCAATCTTTAAATATGAATTTTTCGATCTAGGTATGCATTTTTATACCCCAAATATTAGCTTTTTAATCTGTCTTTTTAGAAAACTTTTGGGTACGCAGTTTTATAGCCCATACAGTTTTAGTCTCACGAAGTGTAAGTCTCAACCGGCTAAAAAATGATGTAAATTTTTAATCTTTTTTTTTTGTGACAGCTTTTGCAATTTTTTTTTCAAAAACATTACAAATCAACGCAATTTTTAGCCGCTTAAAACTAGCACTTCATCAGACTACATAAATTAAAAAGTTGAATATTTGTTGAATTTTTCTAAGCTCTGTATAAAAATTTAAAGTTTGATTTAAATGAGCCGTATTTTCAACAAAAAAAAATTAACTTTAAAAACCCTGCAAATATTTAACCAAACTTCAAAAGCAAACGATCAAAAATATGCATGGCATTTCTACTAAATATACAATTTTATTCATCTATGTACTTGCAGATTTTTACGAAGGATCTCAGTCATTCCATACCCCAACCACAAGCGATAGCAGGCTCAAGAGAAAAAAACCACCAATATAAAGTTTTGGTGCGAAAATTCTTACAGTACAAACATGTAAATGCAAACTACTCAGTGGCAAGTGAGGGAAACAAAATCAAAATCTCAGAGGTCAACAGTTACTACCTACACACAAAATGCTCATCTAGTCACAACAGCCGAGAGCAGGAACTAGTTTCCTGTTTCACTGCTTGCCAAATAAAGGCTGTGCCAGTGAGACAGCTACAAATACGCTAACTCGCACGCTCACTAGCTTTTCGTTTAGAAAAATATTATAAATAAGTGCGCAGTGTACTTTATTTGTAAATAAATAGAAGCAATTTTAGTTCTTGCTGGTTGAGCGCTAAAACGGCAGCCATTCAAAATGACAAAGAAGTACGAATTTGATTGGATTATTCCCGTGCCGGAGGAACTAACCACCGGTTGCGTTTTCGATCGCTGGTTTGAGAATGAAAAGGAAACCAAGGAAAATGACTTTGAAAAGGATGCTTTGTTCAAAGTTGATGAATATGGATTCTTTTTGTATTGGAAGAGCGATGGAAGGGTGAGTAGTTTTATGTAGAATATTTTACCTAAATTTTAATATTTGGAGAAAAAAAATCAGTATTTTTAAAACCAAAGAGCCAAATGAGCTAAATTTAGAGCAGCCTTTGGTAATAGTAAAAAAATAGTTATACGAAAAATTTTGCAAAATATTTGCAAAACAAAAAGGAACATTAACACCAAATTGGAGGTGAAATTTTCTTTCAAAATCCGAACAATAAAATTTACATTTTTTTAAATTTAAAATTTTGAAATTTTGGAAAATATTAAAATAAAATATTTTAACAAGAAACCAAAACAGCTAAAACTACTAAAGGGAAAAGAAGATAAAAAAGTTACGAATTACTATTTTTTATGAGCACAATAATTTTTGTTGAAAACGCATGCAATATCGAATTTATATAGCATATGTACTAGGGATGTGCGATTAATTAATTAATCGAAAACTGATTAATTAAGTAACCAAATAATAATATATTTCGATTAATCGAAGTGACTGATTTTCTGATTAATTACATTGCGATTGATTAAAATCTAAATAATTTTATTAGTCAGAAACCTGAATAATTGCTGCCATATTTAGTTTTATTTAAAAAAAAAGAATAAAATAATTATACGCACATGTAAATTGGTATTTTTCCATTTCGAGGAGCAACGTAGTAAGGGGCTTATTTGGCATTATATTTATTTTCGTCTATAAGAAAAATATTGTACTATAGTATAAAAAATGCTCATTGGCTTTGTCAGCAAACTCGTAGGAAATTGAAAAAAATGTCAACTCATTTTTTATAAGTAAACAGCAACTACTCAGGAACTGATTAATCATAATCTGATCTGATCACATTTTTTATTATTCAGGATTGTGATTAATTAAAAAAATATTTAATCTATGAATCGCGCATCCCTAATAGGTACATACATAGTATTTATGTTGTTCACTAATTTTCCATTTTTTCACTTTTCAATTCTTTATAAAAATTATACGCACCTGTTCAGGAAGGAGACGTCATCGAGTTGTGTCAAGTAAGCGATATAAGAGCGGGCGGTGTTCCGAAGGTGAGTAAAATTTTCATCATAAATAAACATGAAAAAAAATATAAAAAAATTATTATTATTGGCTCACAAAACATAAAATTCTTTATATAATAAACCAAATAAATTATTTTCGATAATATATTAAAATACCTAAATTAATTTGACAGCATCCATCTCAATTCAATTTCTGAACCTCATAAATTCCTATCTTAGCAAGTATTTTGCTACCTCTGTTGCTTGGCTATTTGCTACCTCAGCTGGCATTTAGTACAACCTCAGGCCCTCCTGTGTGCGCACGCACACAGCATCACTTCCTCCACCTTTATGCAACTGCAACCAACAGTCATACGAGCAATGCCACAATTGACGCACTGCAACCGCAAAAGCCACAACAGCCACAGAGTTTCAACGTGCACACCTTTCACTAAGCGAATTCATCTTCTTTTCACCTTATACAACGCTAATTTCTGCTATACTATGTAGTTCGTCCATACGCTCTGCCTCTCAACGCTACGTCCTATGTCTATTCCTATGCCACTCAGGGTTGCCACTTTGGTAAATTATCACCAAAATTGGTAGAAAAAATTTGGGTTGGTAAAAAGCTAAATTTTTGTTATTTTTTTGTAGATTTTTGTTAAAGTATTCTGCCTGAGTTTCACCTGAAAAAATTTACCCAAAAATGAGTCATCCGTCCATAATAAATTGTATATGGAAACCAAAAGTGAAAAGTGAACCGATTCGGGGAAAATGAAACTCATGATAAGGCCGATTGTCTTTGAAAAACAAATAGAACTTTTCGCTCCCGCTTTATTTTTCGAAGCTATCTTTATTTTATAAATTTCAACGCCAGTTTTTATAAATGGGTATTGTTAAATTAAAAAAAAAATATATCACAAAAGACCGGCGACAGGAATTTTTAGCTGCATATTGTAGGTTATACTAATATGCCAAGACTATAAAACTGCATACCCAAAATTGTTCTAAAAACTCAGAGTGAAAAGCTCGAAATTTAGACGAAAAGTTGTGGGAATTTTTCTAAATTTATTTTATGGTTTAGGTTAAAGCGCAAACAATATCCTTATAAAAAAAAATGAAAAAAATCTTAACTTTAAAAACATTGTGAATATTAAAAAAAAAAAAAAAAAACTAAAAATTACCAATCAGTTTTTGAGTAATTGTATTTGTCTATAACAACTCCAGTTGAAGTTTTTTCAAATGAAGTTTCATTGTTTAGTTTCATCACTGCCGTTAATATGATCTCAAATACCATGACATTAGTTACATAAAAATTTCTTTAATACAATTTTTTTTTAATTTTTATTGAAAGAACTAAAAAATAGAACAAAAATATAGTTTTTATTCAAATAACCAAAAAAGAGTTATTGATAGATATTTTCCAGATTTGGCAGATTTTTTTCAAGTGAATGGTAAGTATTTTTTTTCGTCAGTGGCAACCCTGATACCACTACACCTGAACTGTGTATCATTGTCAGCATTCAGACTTTGCCTTTCCGCTACCCGAAATCGCAACAAAATTTTCACATACTTTACAGCCACTCATACAAGCATACATATGTACATATGTACATACATACAATACTCAGCTGCCAATGAAGTGTGTCTCTTACTCCACTGCGTATACGTAACGTGTGAATCGTCGTAGTATGGGACCATGAATGTACTACATAAGTCTCTGCGCCTAGCCCGTTCCGTAGGCAACATATACGCACTGTGTCACATGTAGTGTGGTCAACTGTGGCATTTCATGGCATTAAAGCTATCTACTTGTAAGCGAATTTGTAAGTATGCGTGTGCACGTGTATGTGCATTCATTGCTGCTGCCAGTGTCAAACGACCACAATCATAATTCATTTTTGTGATTGTTATACGAGCACTTTGTTGGTGTGGTTGCTGCTGCAATTGTGGTATGTTTCCTTTCGTAGTTGTTGCAAGAACAGACATTTTTGGCCCAGCAACTTTAAGGTGTTGAAGTGTCAAATAGGGTAAAGGGTTGGCATCAGTGGATTTTTAAGATATTAAAAATTTTGTTTGGGGTAAATTGAAAAACAGACATAATAATAATAAAAACTCGGTATTCCAGAAAGCATTAAACACAAAAAAAGCAAAAAATAGAAAAGTAAAATTAACGTTCTTTTTTTTTTTGTTTTAGAAGACAAAGTTTAAAAGTTTAAAACTAATTTTTGAATAGAAATTTTTGTTTAAAAAAATCAAACAAATATTGAAAAAATGCTATTGAGTGTATTCTTGTTTTCGTACGAATCGAAAATTTTAAATTTTTGTATGGAATATTATAGAAAAATGTCATATTATTACAAAAAATTTAAAACTCATAACTGACATAACATGAAATGGATAAAATACCATTTTAGGGATTTTAAAAATCGCAAGAAAAAAATTGTTAATCTCTATTCTGGAATAGAAAATAATGTCTAGACCAAAATTTAGAAACACCTTTTTTTGGAAAATCCAAAACAAAATTGAAAAACGATATTATTTAAAGGATTTTACAAAGGGGCAACACTTTTTGCCATCAAAAATCTGGTAAAGGGGAAACACAAAATTGGACTGATAATTTTTTTTGAAGATTGGAGAACCAAAAAAGCAAATTAAAAAGGAATACAAAATTTTAAAAACAAAATTTTTGCCATTTCAAATTGGATTATTTTTACTCGTTTTGCAGTTTTTTTCAGGACTACTTCGAAAAGAAAATATCCAATACTGAGGTGGATTTTTTTGGAAAACTAGGCGAACTTGTATTAAAAAAGAGCAAGAGTTAAAAAACTATTAAATGTAAAGGCTTAGAAATCATGTATTAAATAAAATTTAATTTTTTATTCCCATTTAAGAAAGATATGTTTTATGTTCGAGTTTCTGCCTGTAAGCTAAATTATAAAGGAATACAAAATTTAAATTTAAAAAATTTTTATTTCAATTTGCAAAATAAACTTAAATTTACGAATTTTAGTTAATTTATATTTTTTGGCGAAAGTTTGTGTTAAAATTTAAGAAGCTATTTAAAAAAATCTGGTTTAAGTTAGAAAAGTGTAGTTTTAAAAATGGCTTAAATTAAAAAATAATTGAATTTTTTAATCAAAATTTAAATTTTAAATTAAAAGTATTTATAAATGGAGTGTAACGAAAAGTTTAGCAGACGATTTCGTTAAGTTTTTGAATTGAGAATTTAAATTTCATATTTTTATGCAATTCTTCTATTTTTAGTTTCCCCAGTTTCATCGATAGTTAAATTAACAATATGAAAAATAATAAAGAATATCATACATTTGATTCAAATTTAAATAACTTTGCATAGTAGTCGAGTCGGAAGATTTACAAAAAAAAAAAATATTTAGCTTTGAACAATTTTTGTTTTTATTAAGGGTAGAAACTTTAAAACAAGAATTAAAAAGAAACCCGAGGTTTTCTTTGAAATGAGGCTATCAAGGGAAATTAGAAATCTTTAATAAAGCCGTTTCGAAAATAAAAATGAATAGCCTTGAATTAAGGAATTTAAATAAAAAGCATACAGTTAATTTTCAAGTTAAAATTTTTTCACTGTTAATTTTGCAATGCACCCTTGCTTTTGATTTGCAAAATATTTGTAAACATTTTGTATAAATAACCACTTTTATACTATTGATTAAATCCAATTCTATCTCTAAACTAAGAAGAGTTCAGTGTGGTGGTGGTCATTCAAATTGCTAGCCATTCATTAAATTCTTCAGAAAAACCACGCAAGCCACTAGCATGCTTAAAAATAATATTTCAAGCAAAATTTCAAAAGTTGTATTTTCCACGCATATAAGTATACTATATACATATTAAGTTCAGTTTGTATGAGTAGTTATTTTTGAAAATTCTTCTTCGATACACTGAAATTGCAATTGAACCAATTTGTACATAATTTCTATGGAAATTCCACTGAACTTTTGTTTATTTAATTGTAAATGTATTCACTGTATCAATTTGTGAATTAAATTTTGAATGTGCGCAAAAACCAACAATTGAAATGTAAACAAAATACGATCAATGAAGTGTTAATGTAATAATAAATTGTTGAAATGTGCCAAAAGTTGGCATTAATGATGAGTGATTGATAATGCAGTTAATGAGGTTCCATTCGAACGGAAAATTGATCAATGCTGAGCAAAAAAAAATGGTGAAAACTGTATAGACAGAATTATTAAAATGATGGGGTAATTTCGAAACAGACTCTTCACCATAAGTTCGCTTGTTCGGAACATCCACCAGTCTTCGGTGTGTAAGCCTTGAACGCAGGCCGCAGCATCTTCACGGAAGCTATTTCCGTCAGGAGACAAGTAAAGAATGCCTTTGATGACACATTCTAGATGTCACCCAACTTCTTGTTGGCTTGTGCTGGCGTCCTTGGCTTGCGCCATCTCCCGCAGGAGGGTGGATCAAAGTAGAGTCAACTTAAATCGGGTGACCTACTAAAGAGATTTTAGTGTGGCGAACGAACTTTTCTCTGCACAAATTAACTTCAATCGAATAAAAAACCATTTCATACGTTTTCAATGTTTTTGGAATATAATCGCTAAGCCTACCATGCGCCTGAAAATGAGCTTCAATTTTGAGTAGACCTACAAAATTAGCAGATTCCAACTAAAATTTATTAATGCTGGCAGCGGTGTACTTAGAACTATTTTTATTTTTTTTTCGATTATTGCTCTTACAACAAAATATGTCCACAACAAAGGTAGTTTTCTAGAAAGGTTTTCTTTATTTTCTTATTTGGCTCCACTGGCGAATTTATTTATTTTTTTTTATTTTTTTATCTAAAAACAAAGTAGTAAGAATTGATAAACTAGTAAGCAACTTTTCCTTAAAAAAATAAAATTTTTTTATTCAAAAATTTTATCTTTAGGTACATACAGAATATAAATTTTTTTAATATATTTTTTTAATTTTACTGAAAATTTTCATATTAAAAAAAATGTTGTTTTCGCCAAATTTTTTCTTTACTTTTTTATTTGGCTCAACTG